AGTGTGTAGTTTTATTTGAAATAAATTACTTTAAGCAATTTAAAAAAAATATCATTGTAAGAGTATATATGTATTATATTTCTTAAGCTAATAGAGACATTCATATATTCTATTTTATACAATATATTCTATACATACAGATACATATTTTCCAGAAGTAACATGGTCTTAACATCCTTTATTCAATTGATGTTATTTAAGAAATATATTAATGAAAAATAAATAATTTCTTATCGTACATCCTAGAAATATAGTCTATTTTTCATTAATATAATTTTGATTAACATCTATGTACGTATTAACATGTTTTATAAATGTTAAAGTAGCATGTAATTTTAGTAAATATCATTTATGGATATATTCAGTGCGTGAGACACATACTGAATGATAAGCTCTACAGAGTGTTGAATGACAGCAGATTTAAATATCAGCATCTCTTGGGATACAAGAATTTAAGATTAGTTTACAGTATCCTGCTTTGAAAGTAAAAGTTTGAAAGTATACTGTGGTTCAAAAATTGAAGCATTTTCGGATTTTTAAATAAATAAATATTTATAGTTTCATAGATAATATTATTTTTTAATATTAATCAAATGCAATTTGAAATACAATACAAAATAATAATTGTAATATAATTAAAAATACTAAAAATTAGAGGAGTTCTTTCTTATAATTTAGTTTACCATGCAATAATTCAATTGGTTGTAAACTTACATATTCAAATGTACATTGTATATTTCTAATAGTTCTTTTCTCTCATATCATATTCCTATGTATATCTAGCAATTTTCTTATAAGTAAATTTATAAACAAAATTATGGTTGTATTTATTTTTTAATCATTAGGAAAATTTTTTAAATAAAAAATAATATATATATTACTATATGATAATTAACAGTATGGTTATTTATTTATTGATACATATATTTTGTATAAGCATTAATGCTATTGTTTTTTGGTTTTATTAATAGTATAATAAAGTTTAGATGAAACTTTTTTCTCTGAAATTTTGTATATGATAATTAATATTAAGAATTAATATTGAAAGTTTTAGAAATCAGTATTTAATAACAATAAATATAGGTAGTGATCCAGTCGATACCGATATTATTGATGATATTCAATTAATTTGATTCCAAAGTACTCAATAGGAATTATCGATACTTATCGAAATTTTAAGTACTTAGTATCAATTTTCGATAACGATACTTCTTGAATCGATACTTATTTGATAGTTGTATGAAAGTATCTATATTTGTCTAATACTTTTATGAAAGTATCTATATCCGTTTAATACTTCTATGAAAGTATTTGTCCTCATTTGATACTTCCATAAAAGAATTGATACTTGTTTGATACCTTACTAAAGTATCGATAGCTTTTTTATACTTGTATGAAAATTTCAATAATTGTTTTACATCTTTCAAAATTTTCAATATTCGTTTGGCATTTCATTGAAACATTTATATTTATGTGATATTTAAAATAATTAATATAATAATAGCGATAATGTTAGATTACAGAAAATAGTACGATTAAAATATGAAATGAATATTATTGCTTTGATGAAATATCAAATAGATATAGATATTTTTGATACCTGTTTTTTGATGCTATTCGATACAATATGATACTACGTGCTGATATCGATAGGTATCGATTTGGTCTTCGTCTGATCACTAAATGTAGGGATATCTTTTTTTATTCAACATTGTAATATTTTGACTTTATTAGTGAATATGTCAGTGCATAGTTGAGATATACTATTATTAATTTTGAAAAATAAGATTTCCTCATTTATAAAAAGAATATCACGATGTCTACAATATGCATACGCCAATTTAACATATATCTTGTTATTATAGATATTATAATTATATTCATTATAATAATAATATAATAGTAGTTATTGTTATTGTTATTATAGTTTTTTCATTTTTTTCATTTTGTCAATAACTTTTCGCTAAACTAATAGGATGCTGTATGTAACTTAGGTTTTTCTGTTTCAAGAGATGTCACTATGTATAATTTATTGCTGTTTGATGTGTAGAAATTAACGGTTTACGTTATATCTTGTACAACATCAATATACGTGTAGTTTATAATGCATATAGTACAAATAATATATATAGAGTACATATGAACACATGTATGCATATATACATATATAAGAATTATAATAAATTTTGCTATGCTGACTAGTAAATTTATACACGTAATTACCTTATTGATAAAAATATTCACGAAAATTCAACATATCTTTCTCGTAGGTAACATTTTTATTATTTCTAATGATAAGAAGTATCTAATTGTAAGCAAAAGAAAAAAAGAAGAAAATATCATAGATATAGAAACTAACTAACTTTTGATAAACTTTCTTTTATATAAATTAAGAATTAGAAATCTTTTTATATGAATTTTTCTGATATTTTTTAATATTTCATTTATTATAAATTATACATTACTAAATATCATATAATAAATAACTTTCCATAAAGAATTTCACTTTCTGAATATAAAAATAGTACAAAAATCCACCCTAATATACTCTACATATTTTGTTCAGTAATTTTACTAGATTTTGCACAATAAATTAAAAATTAAAATTAAATTAAAATTGGTTCCATTATTTTTGTTTATTTTTTAATAAAGTAGTAAATATTTAAGTA